CTCCCAGCGATTGGGTCGTCTTCTTCTCGAAAGCCTCATAATTAGATGATGGCACTGGTCACACCTAATATACATTTTAGACTGGTTTTTTTAATAGAGAAATATGTCTGAATTTACGTGGCCTATTTAGTGAAGATCTTCATTCCTACAAACAGGACTAAACATATGTATTAGATAAAAAGATAAAATATCCAACTCTTATGTAGTAATATTCTCAGTGTGTAATATGCACAGACGGGTGGCCAATGCTTCAGCAAAAATCCAGGAACCTGGCATGCATAAATTATCTCTGGAATTTTATTTGCTTCTAATTTTATAATAACTTCACTCAATCCTTGCTATCCATGTATGAGCACATGTCAAGCCGCAAGTCAGTTTTAATAAGTTTTCGCGCTCTCTACTTTTGTTGGCATCATGTCTGCGACCTGACATTGAACAAATGAAGACTGACTGTCTCGTCTACATAGGAATAACTTTGGTAAATGCTGTCTGAAGAGCAGGGCGACCAGTGCCGAGAAAGGCACTGCGTTGCCCGAATCATCTTTTTTTCTTCAATAAATGTTATCACGACTCTACAGTCTGAAAGGCAGTATTTCGTTGGCTGTTCGTCCCGACTGAAAAACAAATTCTACACTAACTTTTCATCAAAACTAAACGGTTCTATCTCCGAGCAACATAGAATTTGGTCATTTAATTTTACCTTGATCAAAGTATTCTGCAATGTTCTTTGTATACCAGGTTTCACTGACACCGATACTAGAAACCTGGGTGTTGGAAATGTCTGGAGGATTCAGCCATAAGGAACAACAACACGAAAATACCGGTAGATTAGGATTTTTAGATGCACTTGCCTACATAGAGTAGCAAGGCGTTCATGCAAAGTCGTGATCGAAACTGGAGTTGGCAATTTAGCATATATTTGGTCACGTTATTTTGAGCCAATGAGTGGATTTAATCCTGGGAAGGTGCTTTATTTACGAAAATCACCCTGCTAGTTAGGTCTATTAAGGGTAATGAGCATTGATTTTGGCAAAATTCGGAGTAGTCTCATATCGAAGGAATTTCCTATGCTATTAAGTATGACAGAACCAAACTTTAGATTAATATGCATTGTGCTATGGAATATCTCCAAAATAAGTAAAACAAGTTAAAAACATATCCCTTCCAGAATCTAAAGATTTAGTCCGAATTTGATCAAATACACGTGAAGCCAAGCTTAAAGAATCGCATTTATTTTCAGAAACAATGAATAAGTTCAGTTTTTTCCACAAAATGCAGTAAAACAAATTAACCTCATTTTGTTTGGGCCGAACCAAAACTGTCTATATAGTATCGCGAAGATGAAGGTAAAACCAAATCTTATTAAATCTTAAGAATGCAGTAATATACTTGTTATACGCTATAAGCTCCGCTTATGCGTAATTTAGAAACGGTTAATAATATTTGCAGTATCTTAGCATAAATTTGGCCACTCCTTTTTGCATTCGCAAACTTAGAACAGAGCCTTAAAGTAACGAATATAGTGTAAAATACTCCGATATAAAGACAAAAGTGAGTCATTTCATTTCCAGCAAAATTGTATTATTTATTTTCAGGTAAATTAAAAAGCCTGTCAAAATTGTCCACTTAGATTTTGTCATTCCCTTGGAAAAAGGTAACATGCACAGGTATTCACCAGCTGAATATTTAATTAAAACGATTTTTTATAGAAGTAACCTATTATAGAAAGTTTTTTTTATTAATCTTATGAATAATAATATTAGACGTCTGTTGCGGACTTCAGTGTTTTGACGTTCGAGGTAAGTTCTAAATATGGCCCTTATGGCCATCTTCATAAAAACTAATATCTAAAAATTCATTTTGTCGGTAAATGCTTTTACTATAGATCTTATTTTAAGGGATGTGATGAGAACATCGAACAGAATCTACGTTTGTGAAATCTTACTTCGGATCGCAGAAGATCGTCGAAAATATACAGGAATTTCAAGGACAATCTGTAAGAAATTGTAATTAAATAACGAGAGTATGCCTAAAAAATTTTGATTAAGGAAACGTTTTTTGATCGGTCAGGCTATCCATTCAGCTCACGGTTTATTGTTCTAATTTATAGCTATTTTTACGTCTGCGGAACTTGAAGATTTTTAAGAAAGTTTTGTTTTTTAACAAACAATTAGTACCTTTTATATTTCCTTTAAGTAACAAATTTGCCTAAGGTTGTTCATTATTAGTTCGACGTTTTCGTACATGCATTCATGCCGGTATGCGAGCAATGATCAATCTTTCACAAAATTCGGCATTTTGCATAAGTGCCTCACAGTACATCGGTGGAATTCAGAACCATTAGTTTGCAGTTCACAGCAGCAGCATACGCAATAATCTGCCAAGAGAAAACGTTCTATTAGATGACACATCTGGCTACGTCGTACTCAGTCCCATACACTGAATAATAAATCAACGTACCTCTTAACCTTCGAAAGAATATTAGCCATTTCTATGGAAAACGTTTTGCTTAAGTTAAGGGACACTAGAATGACATAAATTTCCCCGAAGGAAATCTTTAGCTCGTGACTTTCCCCAAATGTGCACTTTCGTGGAATTGCGTTCTAACCTGAGGGAGTTCAAGTAATTTCCCGGCGTCGCAGCTTGCGGCCAGCGGAAATGATCCGTATCCAATATTTGTGTGACGGGTGCATTTATTCAGGCCGAGCGCTGCGGTGGAACACATAAAAATATTATTTGATATCGTAAGGAGTGCTATACTATCGCCTACCTTAAATGAAAATGAAGGAGCCAAGTTTAAGCCATCCTAAGCGCCAGATACACTCGCGCACAATTAATGCCGGCAATTTATAATCGAATAAATAAACATTTCCTTTAACTTAAGTCGAATCGGTTAGTACTACCATGTCTATTTGTACATTTACGAGGATAAAACATACCGCTACATGATATAGACCGCTAGTTTGACTGGACGAGTTACGCCACGCGCTTCTTCGCTAGTATTATATGGTCATAATTTTTATTTAAATTCCGAAAATCCTTTCGCTATGGGATTTCAGCAAAAACATGTGGATGCTTCTTTGGATTTAACATTCATTTCCCTCCTCAATGATGATATTGGGGTGTTTGTATTCATTCTGCAATGAAAGGAAAAGTTTTACCTGAATTTTAAAAGTGTCCCTTACCGGAAGGTTTCCGCTTCCCACTACTTAGTTCGTAAAACATTTTAGCTCCAAAGTGTTTGCTTTCTCCAATTACTACGCAGCGGACCTCGTATGCACACTTGCTGACCGCATATTAAGCCGTAGGTTTGAGGCAAAGGTTTGCATTCTAGGTACGTGTATAGTTTGAGAAGAAGAAGCTTTGTTGAATACCGGATTTATTGTTTTATTGGTCTGAGCTTTCGGGCTCCTGCAGGAGTCCATCGTCAGA